CCCACCTGTCGCCCGCCAGCGCTGGCCACGCCCACCTGTCGCCCGCCAGCGCTGGCCACGCCCACCTGTCGCCCGCCAGCGCTGGCCACACCCACCTGTCGCCCGCCAGCGACAGGTGTCGCCCGACAGTTAATCAGTCATACCCCACAGCCAGCAGTGCAGGCCTCACAAGCACAAACGCGGCCTTTCAGTATCGCTAAGAGGCAGCAGATCAGCCTGTGCTCTGAAGGTCAGTGCTGCGTTAGCACAAGCCGTCGTGGCCACTCACCGCAGATGGGCGCCATGATTTACGGACCCTGTGAGGCAGTTTGATGACACGGCCATAAAGCAGGGGCCACATGCAGCGGGCCTGCAGCGCTAGATTACGCTGGGGGGGGGGGGGCACGGGCGCTGGGGGACCAGTGCCACTCACATGAGAGCGATAAAACACACAGAGACTGCAAATTCTCTACAGAAAGGAGCCGGATAGCGGCCTGGTCGCTCCCCCGAGGAGACGTGACGTCATGGGTCTTGTCTGTGCGCTCCAGCCTGTCCGGTGTCCGCTTGTTCAGAAAGATTGTTCTGTCATGTACTTAATGCCACAAAGTGTAAGCTGCACTGTCACTGAAGTGGGTCACTTGCGACATCCTAGAGGTTGTGAGGAGCAGGCTGGGTGTCACCAAGAGAGACACCCAGCAGGCTTCCTGCCCCTTTCATCTTGGAGTCTTCCCTAAGCATGAGAAGCATCTTGACACCTGTGACAGGATCCAATCAGGGTGCTCAGCCTGTTTGCGTCGTCTCTCTCTGCAGGGCCCTGAAGTTGGAGTATGAGCTGCTGAGAGAACAGCACAGTCAGAGGGCGCTCTCCGGACCGTGGGAGCCCAGGGCAGGGGCCCTCGGTGGCCCCGAGGAGGCTGAGCTGCTGGCTGAGGCCAAGTTGCTGCGACAGCACAAGGGCAGGCTGGAAGGGCGCATGCAGATCCTGGAGGAGCACAACAAGCAGCTGGAGTCACAGCTGCATCGCCTACGGCAGCTGCTGCACCAGGTTGGCGTCCTTCTCTGTCTGCTTCTCTCTTTGTGCCCCTTTCCTAACCCTCTGTCCATGCCGGTCCCTCAGTCTGTCTCTCTGTCCCCGTCCATCAGTCCCCGTCCCTCTCTCTGTCTCTCTCTGTACCGTTTCCTCACAACAAGGCTGCTTGTGCATTGTTTGAGCTTGAGCCCCTGGCCGCCTCCCCTTTGTATTTTCCTGTGTCTGCCTCGTGGTCTGGTGCTGCGTACTCGGCGAGCACCATCTCTCACCTTGCCTTTCCCGGCTCTGCCCGCCCCCACTTTTGGATGGCAGCTGTAAATCCTACCACCCTTGTTCACAGGCACATTCTCAGGGCCGACAAGGGGGCCACACCGCCGCTCCATCCCTCTGCATTAGTGGTTGTCATGCAGATGGGCGACGCATGCGTCCCTGCATCGATTTTTATGAAACAGGAGGACGGTAAAACGCTCTATTGACTTCCTGTCTAAACAAACGTACCTTCCCATTCACTCGGTGACCGATAGCCAGCTGATCCCCAAAAACATTACTTACACTCTGTTATTGTGTGGAGGAGTGCTCCTGTGGCAGTATCAGTACTCCTGTGGAGGAGCACTCCTGTGGCAGTATCAGTACTCCTGTGGAGGAGCGCTCCTGTGGCAGTATCAGTACTCCTGAGGAGGAGCGCTCCTGTGGCAGTATCAGTACTCCTGAGGAGGAACGTTCCTGTGGCAGTATCAGTACTCCTGTCGAGGAGCGCTCCTGTGGCAGTATCAGTACTCCTGTGGAGGAGTAAGTTTCCAGTCGATTTGAGCTGGACAGCTGGGCGGATCGAGGCAGATCTTTCAATCGGAGCTTCCCTTGAGAGAGCCCTGGGTGGGCAGGGCTGTGGATCTCCAGCTTCAGGTCTCTCACGCAGTCTGCACAGCCCAGGGGCCTTCCAGGCTCTCCAATCGTCATAGCTGCCATCTGGCCAGAACTTTTCCGCTTCGATTTTTCCCCCTCATCAGCAAAACCCGAATCGGATCCTTTACCCAGTGGGTTCTGCTCTTGCTGCCTCATGAGTTTTCGTCAGCGGAGGCAGCCGGTGCACCCCCCTTCCTGAGCGAGAGAAATCCGGCATGTGTGGCGAATGGGTGCGCGTGGCAGATTGGTGAAGCCCGCTTTTCCGGCACTTGCCGGGTCCTGGCCGGAACGCTCATTTTCTGTAATCTCGGACAAATGCACGGTTGCAGATTGCCAGCAAGGAAACTGGTCTTCCCTGTATTGCCTGTGGTGTTTGTGGATGTAAGGTCACCACGTGAAAGTCTGATGATATTCTTCTGCTTTGGTTATCTGTCCCAGTCACCTGACTTCAATAGAAAGTCCAAAACTGGTCATTTTTGTGTCCTCTACCCCCTCACCCTCATGCAGCCTGAAAGGGACCCCCGGGTCAATGGTGTCACCCCTGCCTCCCTCCTTCAGCAAGACCTGCCCGTCAGTGTTGAGCAAGCAGGTCAGGATCACCCCATGTTTACATCCTAGCAGCATCCTACCATTACATCACATTGTGCTAATTCATATGCTTAAGTCACATGACTGTGCCAGATGACTGCAATGAATCTGTAGTATCTGATTAAACACATTGATTAGTGATGCTCTGCAGAGCCCCTCATGGATCTGAGCGTGAGGCAGTTTCTTTAGTGTGCCTGTGCTCTGGCTTGCAGGTGACGCTCTGGACCGGGAGCACGAGCCCGGCGCGGACCTCGCTGACGTCATGGAGCAGATAAATAACTTCCCAGCATGCAGTTGTAAGTCCCTGCGTCCTGCTGCAGCCTGGGAGGGTGGGGGGGGGGGTCCGTATGCCCAAGTGCATTTGTCTGTCAGAGACGGGCGATGAAGCAGGATTGATTCTGATTCGCTGACCTGTACTTTACCTGTAATCTGCCATTACTTGGACGGTGTTCTGTAGATCAGGGGTCCCCAGCTATTTCTTCCCTGAGAGCCTAATTCCATCATCCAGGTTCCCGATAATAAAACCCGCCTATGAGGGGGATTGATCGTGCGGTCCAGGTCCGCGTCCAATTGTTTTGCTCCACCAACTGGTGTCACTGCTATAGAGTGAAGTCTTTATGGAGACCCCCCCCCCACCCCATTTGTTGTCCCCAGCAACAGAGCCAGGCGCAGTAACATCCATCATATGTGCCCCAGATGAATGTTGCACACACACCTCTCCTTGCTTGTTTGTTTCTGTCTTTGCTGGCGTCCGGTCAGGGCCATCACACACACCTCGATAAGCCTCCAGGGCTCAGCGGTAGCTGATATTTAAACCCCCCCCAGCGCAGAGCCCCTGCTGTGGTGCCAGTGCGGGAGGCCCGGTGCAGCAGGCGGGGGCCTTAACCCAAATTTAGGCTAACCCCCACTAACCCATGGTGTGTGTGTGACTAAGTCAAAGCCCCTGAGCAGCAGGTGTGTGGAGGTTCAGAATAAACCTCCTCCCGATCCAGAACCAGCTCAGTAATCCGTTAATCTGAAGTGCTAGATTGCTCCTGTGTGCCAGACCTAGCCCATCTGCTGGTTAGCAGCTAGCTGTTGGGGTTTCTGCTCTTTTTTTTCTCCCAGTTCTTTAATTTTATATATGAATATTTTGCTTGTTCTTATTTTTTATTTTCTTACCCCTTACTTTGGAAAAGATGACTGTCCGCTGCCGTTTTGTGCACCTCCGTTGTAGCTAACAAGACTGGGACGTTGATGTGGTGTTTCCAAACCAGGAGATGTGGGTTGTATGGGGGAGGGGGGCTTTGTTGGAGTGCTCAGGAAGTTTACTTCGTTATCTAGGAATGAGGGAAGAAACATGGTGGTTTTTGGCAGCTCTTGAAATGCTGGGCTTGAATTTAGCATCCCCTGAGACATCAACGACTTGGTCCCATCATGACTGCTTTGGTAGGCGTTCCTCTGGGTCTACAAGTCTGCAGGGTTCAGTCCCCTTGTTACCCTCTTAAACCAGAGACTCTACTTACCGTATCGCTTTGTCTGTGTGCATCATCGCCTCACCTTCTGGTCTAACAGACTCCTCTGCTCTCCTGCAGCCTCCAGCCCGGTGCCTCGACCACAGGTAAGCTCTCTCTATCGCCGCCCTGTTGGTTGTCCGCCTGTCTTACCCGCTGTCTGTAAGCGTGAACCTGATAGTAGGGCAGTCAGCTGAAGCTCGGTTTTACTCCTGTGAAGTTCTCAAGCTATCGGAACATCTAGGTCCAGCACTCCAGTTTCTCTGTGATGGCCTTGGGCATGTCTGGCAACCTCTGTTAAATACCGTCCCACTACCATTAACCCGGGTTCGATGCAGGCCTTTTCAGTTGTGCTCCACCTCACCCCCCCACCCTTAAATTGTTTGTCACAGCCCGCTGATGCGCTTGTTTCCCGGTCAGCCTCGGTCGGCTGCAGAGCGCCTGAGCACTTTGCATTATCTGCCTGCATTTCTGCTTTTGTGATTTCCTCTTCCAACTGCTTCTCCCAGATGTAATTAGATTCTGGTCACCATGGTATTTATGTCCCCCATTAGGCAGCTGTATTACTCCAGCAAATGGGACTTGGACAGTGTCCCCCCCCCCCATCAGTTTGAACAGTAACATGCTCCTCCTTATCTGGGCCATTAGACCGTCACGGCTTTGAGCTCAAAAGAGCATAACTGCAGTAGCCATTAGCTTGGCAATTGTTTGAGGGAAACAAATGTTGCATTAAGGCAATGAAAGGTGTATCCCATGTATCCCAGAAGTCTTTGCGGCCTCCCTAACAGGCATGTCCTACTTTATAGCACTTTCTGACAGTAGTGTTAGTTATCATTAAATGTAGACAATTCCCCATACCTTTCCAAGACTGTAACACTGCGGGCTGAGGTAACGGAATCGCCGCTATGGCCTCTTGGAAAACGTCGATGGTGCCGAGGTTTAAAACCAAGAGACTTTTCCAGTTTTTCCTGGGTAACTGGCTGCGTGTCGTCTTTGCATTCAGGTGAAATGAGGTGAGCCAGACCACGAGGGAGACCCCAGCAGGATGTAAAACGCTGCTCTGTCGTCCGGCCGACCGAGACGGACCTCGATATGCAGGGAGAGGTTCACCCGAGACCCAAAGACTTTGACCCAGGACCACAGAACGTCACTATGCTGTCGTCACGTACTATGCAACTGTAAATGTCACGGACTGTAGATTGTACTCTGAGGTCGTTGAATGTTTGTTAGCGATTCGTGAGACGATGCAGGAGAGTCGGGGGTGTGGGCCGGGGTGGGGGAGTTTTATATAAATGTATACATTTTTTTTTTTTTTTTTAAACTTTGCAATCCCTGCAATTTAAATGGTTTTGCTGTCACCCTGCATTTTTCTACGTTAACGTTATAGTATCGCTTACGTCACTGCAAATGCTTCCCGTGAAAGTCACACGGCGTCTCGCTCCCGAGTGTTCTGCCGTTTTTGTAGCACCTGCAGATCAGTGCCCCCTTCGTGCCTACGGTTACACAGTCGTCATTCCATTCGAGGGCAGGCTCGCCGAAACCAGCCTCCAGAGGTGGAGACCTGGAAGACCACGCCGTGGTTTGGCTGTGTCCGGTTGGGACTTGGGGCGTGGTCTGGCGTCCCAACAGCATTCCTAACCAGAAGAAAGCCATCTTTTTCTTGCTACCTCAGTCACGGCCCTGTAGGATAGATCCGCCGATTTTCACAGACGACACACCAAGTTTTTCCTGAGATGGACCAGGAACTAGGAACAAATCTTTGAAGAATGCCTGATGGGGGGGGGGGGGGGGTTGCCCGGATTAGTACCACCAGTTTATAAATTGGTCTTCATCCTGGGCTTTTTTTATCTCCATTCCAAAATGTACGTGACGTGCTCTGTGCTACGCTACCTTGTAACTGTAAAGTCTGACACTACTCTGAGCTTCTCCGACTGTGTCCTTGGGTGATATAGCGATCTGTACTTTGGAAGAACTGTCATTCTGAGGTATCTAGTCTAGACTGATCACACTACATCTCTAATATGGCTAAATATGTTTATTCTATTTTTTTAAACATATATTTTTTTTCCCCTCGTGTTGGTTACTTTTATTATTGCGGTCTGTGTCGTTTGTGCTCTGGGAAGTCCGTTTTCTCCACCTGTGGCTCTTCTCTACCCCACTGTGCATCTTGAGCGTAATGCCAGCATCTCAGCAGTGTGAGGCGGCAGCCCTGGGGCTTCTGGTAGATCGAGCTCGCATTCCGAAGGGCCTGTGCTAGTTGGTGTCTCGCAGCTACTCCCACAAAGAATGTGACGGCTCTACGGTCCCACCATAGGTCATTCCGTTTGACCGCTCGACATCTACCCAGCAAAAGGGGCCCTAGGCGACCACACAGCAGATGAATTCCGTGCTGTTGAACTGTTGCTTCCTTGACTGCTTTGCCAAAACCTCAAAGAGGTAACAGAGCCACAGTGTAACACCTATGGGGATGCAGGAGCAGTTCTTTTTTGCTTGGACTGTTACTCCTGCAGAGGAGCTCTACTGTGGGAGTATCAATACTCCTGTGGAAGAGCGGTATTCTGGGAGTATCAGTACTCCTGCGGCAGAGCTCTACTGTGGGAGTATCGGTACTCCTGCATAGGAACTCTCTCCCGTGGAGGTTCCAGTACTCCTGGAGATGAGATTTCCCAAAAGGTCCTAGTTCTCCTGGGGATAAGCTCTTCTGCCGTCTGATAACTTACCTCGTCAGAGCTGCATGGCGGAGAGGACAGAATGCCGATCTGACTGTGCTGTAACAGGCTTCTTGACAGACTTGTGTACCAAAACCAGGGTTGCCCCTTGTCTGTGCATGGAAATAATAGTATATTTTTACATCACTGTATGGAATTCAATAAATTAAACCTTAAATGTAAAAATGAGACTGTTGTCACTCTTCTGCAGGGGAGGTAAGAGCCAGCATAGAAAATGAAGTGTAATTAGCAAAGCGTCCTGGTTTCTCCGTTTACTGTAATGTTAACTGGTACAGAAACAGGGCAGTATCCTTATCAGCCTGGCTTTTTTGGGTCAGTTAACTATGTGATCCGAGGGCATGAAAACCCAGATAACTGTAAAAATGTATCTTTCTAGGCCCCCCACCTGTTTTTTTTTTGCCGGAGGCAACCAGCAAAGACGGCATTTATGGGAGTTGAGTCACTTTGTGCCCGAGTGCTGGCTGGTGTTCTGAAAATGGCATGTATTGAGATGCATGACGTGCATCGTGCCTGAAGCCCAGACAGCGGAGTTCGGCGCCTGGGTCTGGTCCTGAAGAGCCTCGCCCCGCGGTGAAGCAGCTCCGGAAGGTGGTCGTTTTTGGCGCGATTGGCAGGCGCTCACCCTGCGGCTGTGTCTCTCCTCCATGCTCTGTTTACCGAACTGACGCTCCAATCTGAAGAGGATTTTTTTTTTCTTATTGTGAGAAGGGCAATGCAAGGACATGATAGAAGCAAAGCGGGATTATTTTTCTGTCCATTTATCATTTCTGTCCATCCATTGTTTACCCACTTGTCCTGGGGGGGGGGGGCACACCGTGAACAGGAGGTCAGTATTCATCATCTCCCCACATTTTGCTGAAGCTTGGCACAGGGAATGCCGCCTGGCCAACCCTTTAACAGTTGTGCTACCTGGTGCTTCTCCCCCCCCCCTCCGTCTGCCTTTCCTCCATCCCTATAACCTCATCTGCATGTTTTTTCCACTATATTAGTTTTATTACTGCAACTTGCAGTTAATACTTTTTTTTTACCCTTATAAATTTAGTGAGCCATCTGTTTCTTCAAACCCTCCCTCCCCAACGGTTAAGGTAGGTATGTTTGCTTTAGGGTCCGCCATCAACATCCCTGGGGAGTCACTACGCAAGCGCCAGTCTCTACAGCGAAGTGGTCTGCGTTTCCCGGCACAAAGTCTAATCCCGAATCAGACGCGAGTGCCTGGAGCGATAATGCTGGATGGTTGCCGTGGCGAGCGCGGTAGCACCAGCTCTGACCCGCCCTGTTAAGCATGGTGAAACTCCCCCAGAAAAGGCGGGGTTACGGAGGCCAAGGCTCCGCCTCCACCTTTCGCGACAATTTCACAGGCGAATCAGAACGCCTTTAAATATCAGGTTGTGAAGCGTTGCTTTATTGCAGTCTAACACACCCCCCGGCAGGCTGAGGTGACACCTGTCCTCTCATTCTCTCTCTCTAAAATAAAATACACACCCTAATGCGCTTCTGTCACTTAAGAAGCATTGAGGCGTCAGCATGACTGCTACCAAGAACTGCCTTCGCCGTGTTTCCCGGGCTGAGTCTCACCCATCAGTCACCCACGCTGACCAAACCGTTACCGACACACTGACAGAGTGTCTCTGAAGGCCCAGTTGCTACTTACTGAGGCAGGCAGGGTAACAAGAAGGGACAGTTTTGGGTCATTTTTCTCCCACAAGGCCATTCCTTACTATCGCAAGGCTGAGCAGTGGGCAATTTAATCCATAAAAACTTGCTAACTCGTACGTGCTGAGCAATGTTCTTAAGGAACCAAATATTGGGAGAATTGGAGGAAGGGCAATTGATATATAAATATGTACATAAAAAGCATATATATACACCTAATATGGCAGCATACCCAATATGCACACTGATATACAGCACTATATTTTTGTAATATTGGCTGCATAAGTCGAAGTGAATATGTCAGTGTAATATAATATACTTTCTCTGCACCAATTTTCTCTTGAGCGGTTTGTCGTATCCAATCATGTTTCCTATTGGCTCTGCAATAAGCTTTTCAGAGTCTGTTCAGATCGTCGCAGTCGGTGTCACGTAACAGTCTTTCAGCGTCTCCCCAAGTAAAGCGAGTAGCATCAGCAGCCCGCTGCCTGCAGTTTGGGCCCCCTCCCCCAGCCCCTACCCTCCACTCTTGTTGTTTTCCTGACCTAGTCATTTCCTATCAAAGATAAATTCAGAACCAGCTAGAAACATAATGGTTACCACAGCAACACCCCTTCAATCTCAATCCTGCTGTGTACTCGCGCTCCATGCTTGTTAGGTAAACCTATCAGGCGTCATCACCACCTACCCCCCACCCTCACCCCCACCCCCCTCTCATTTGGGGATGACTAGGCAGAATGGAGCCTCATGCATTGACTTCACACCTCCAAGGTTGGGGATTCATCCTCCTACACCCCTGGTCTGTGTGTGGAGCTTTCATGTTTTCCCTGTCATATCTGAAGACATCTACAGTCCAAAAACTTCTGTGCATCCTGCCTCATGCCCTGCGCTTCCTGAGAGAAGCGCCAGGCTATTTCCAACTTTATGCTGGATAAGTGGCTCATTACACAAAAATGCTCTGAGGGCAGAAGGAGAAATTATTAGAGATTGAGGGAGATAACCAATCAGATCGTAGAGGTGGGTCCAACCAATCAAATGTTTTTTTCCAGCCGCCTCAAGTGACTTAGACCTACCTCCTCTAAAATCTGATTGGTTATCACTCTCATCCAATTAGTACCAATTAGTGCAGCGTGGTGGGGTTAGCATCACAGAGGCAGTGTTTCCCAATCCGGTCCATGGGGACCCACAGACAGTCCACGTTTTTGCTCCCTCTCAGTCCCTAAAAATGTGGACCATCTGGTAGGGAGCTTGGAGGGAGCAAAAACATAGGCCGACTGTGGGTCCCCGAGGACAGGATTGGGAAATGTCCCCAAGGGGATATGCCCTTTGCAGGCCTTCACAGAAAAGCAGGTCCTATCTGCACTGCGGTAGGAATCAGATTGGGATGCGAACTGCCTTTGGTCATGTAGGTGAGAGGGGCCTGTGGAGGTTCAGCAATATGTCACCTCTTATGGTCCTCTGGGGGAAGATTGCGGGGGCCCAAGTCAAGGTGTATTATGTCTTTATGATCCTCCATGGATCTATATACAAGGCCACAAGGAAAGCCAGCTGAATAAACAGGAAACGGGCCCGGTGTCGTAAAACGGGAATTACGCCGGTACAGGAACTAATTATCAGCCTGTCTAGTGATGGATGGCGTCAGATTTAGCAGCGCGGCACTTTACCGCCGGGGACTGCGGCACTAGAGCCGCTGCCAGGTTCCGCTCGCCGGCGGACTGCGTCTCCCAACGCCGGAACCTGTTTCGGAGCAGGTGTTTCCACGTTCAGACATCCGCTCCCCCACTGGGTGTGAAATCCGCGCTCCTAGAGGTGAGAAAGGGTGAGAACAATGGGGTTCGGCAGAGGGGGGGGAGCGTGCAATCACGGCTATTGGTGATAACCTCGGGCTGGTAGGGCTTGTGGGTCTGCTTAGACGCGAAGGAGGCTGGATACAACCCCCCCCCCCCCCAAACACACACCCCGACCTCTCGACTTAGGTTGGATGGGTTTAAACAAAGCTGATTCAAAAGAAAATGCTTATATAACCTCGGGATGAACCTTAAGTTAGTCTTCATTTATAAAACCAAATAAATACACCTCCACATTAAACTTAAAGCCCACACAAGAAGCAACTTAACAAGGAAAGCTTGTCGTGTTCAGAACAGAATAGACCAGAATACACATACAATGAAACTGTGTGCTTCCCACTACACGTTAAAAAAGTTAAGAACAAGTAAATAAAATGAAGGATACTATGTGCAATATAGATATTCAATATCAAGTTGAATGGTGAGTCAAAGTTCAGTAGTGCAATCACATATTCTTTTAGCAACATTAAACAGTGTAGAATTTTTTTTTAATTAGTCGTGCAGTTAGGAATGTACCAAAGTTTACAAAAGGTGATAATGAGATTCCTTTGCTCTTTTTTCCCCAAAGGAGCACATGAAGTTTCAAAGTCCAGAATAAGATGTAAAATGAAGCAGAACGCTGCTTTTTTATTAGAAATCCTGGGCTTAGCGGTCTGAGGAGGCTGGAGTGCAGCGAGTGTCCACAATCATGAGGGAATGGATGGCAGTGTGCTGACAAGTTTAGCATCTAGGTAAGCTCTCCTAGATAAATCTGTCACAAGCAGAGCCACCTCCCTGGTGCTTGTCAACCCACATGCAAAAACACCAGACCATCCAAAATACCGCCACCACCACCGAGAGAGCTGGCTGTACCAGCCTAGCCTAGGCTAGCTTAGCGTAGCCTCACGCATACACACGCTGCGTGTTCAGCTTTAGCCAATAATCTTAACTCAATTGTTAATTTATATTAGTGCCCCCTACAGAGCACTAGAGTTAATTGCTTATGGAACTGAGAACATTACATGGAATTTTCAGACAGCTAATCGGTTGTTTCTCTGCTCCTGGGATTTTTATTTTTATTTTTCGGCTATTATTTTGACAGCTGAAATCATATCAGAAGTAACGCCTTTGCACTTTCTATCTGTAGCCTTTGCTTGTAAGGCTCCACACAGACGTGTTACTGCGATGTGCTTGGTAGGACGACGATGTGTCGGTCTCATCAGCCAGAGGGCAGCTTCCTCCCGCTCGCTTTGCTGGGCAACAGCGATCGCGGGTGATGAAGCTTCTTCAGTCTTAGTGGTGCGGAGTCGTCAGCGTGGGGAGTGTCATGTGGCGCGATGGGAGGCTGAGATCGGTGACATATCTGTGCTGTAGTTTGATTCCATGACATCAAAGGCACGTGCTCAGATTTCCTCCAAAACACTCTCACTCTCACTGATCCCCTTCAACTTAAGCAGCGTGCGTCATTACTATTTACATGTTTATACAAATAGCCACTCCAGAGGCAGGTAGGCCTACTATTAGTCGTTTGGCGCAGTTCTTGTGGGACTGCGTGTACTGTGCCCGTTTTTTAAAAATTTATTTATTTATTTTTAATTTATATGGCCTTTGTGTACTTGATTTCTTGACAGCATCTCCATGTGTGTCAGAAAGGGACACCGGGGGTGGAGGTTCGGGGGGTGGGGGCACAGG